TGGCCTCATGACAAGTAATCATCTCTCAAGTCTTGGCTCCCACCCTGCATTATAATGGGTTTTTTACCAGGCTGGTAAAAGGATTGCTGAGAAGGTCTGTGAGGTACCATGAGCTCTCCAAGGAAAAGTATTATTTAAACATTATCATCATTTAGGAGTAGTATTTTTAGAGTGCTGTTTTGTCAGTGTTCTGTTACAACAGCATTAACCTGAACATTATTGCAGCATTGATAACTGACACCAGTCTATTATTACACTTACAAGTTGCAGAGAGCATAATTTGCATAATGAGCAGGAAGAGGTAATTATTACTGGGTATCATTCCTTAGCTTCTCTCCCAGAGTCAATATTAGAATTCTAGTATAGTAATGAAAGCAAGCCTACAAAAATAGTGTATGACATTACCTTTAATGTCAATTTAAATTTAAAAAATTATTAAGTAGTTTGCTTCTTGATGGTCAAGTAGAAAAGAAAAACAAAAGTGCCATTCCCTTTAGCCTCATAATAAATAATTAATACTTCCCTAAATCTTCTCTCCCAGAGTCAATATTAGAATTCTAGTATAGTAATGAAAGCAAGCCTACAAAAATAGTGTATGACATTACCTTTAATGTCAATTTAAATTTAAAAAATTATTAAGTAGTTTGCTTCTTGATGGTCAAGTAGAAAAGAAAAACAAAAGTGCCATTCCCTTTAGCATCATAATAAATAATTAATACTTCCCTAATTCAATGTGGTAACAATGAGGAATATGAACTCATATAATATTCTGTAGTATTTACAAATGAAACATGTAAATATAATGTACTGTCCAAATATAGTATCAGGAAATTATGACACCAGGCCAATTGTACTACAGAGGTGTGGGCTACAGCTGGTCTAGCTGAACCATACCCTAGCAGATTGCTACTCATAGACATCACTTACCCACAGGAAAACTAAAGTATGTTTTTGTTGGACAAAACATCAAAAGGGATTTAAACAGATTTCTAAAATGTTTATGGAACATCTCCCAAAAATTGCAGACACCTGTTTTTTTACAAACAGAGGAGGAATCTCTACTTGGATTGGGGAACAGAAGACACAGACAGATTGAGAGCAGCCAGGAGATAGCCTTGGGGATACAGTAATGTAAAGGTAAAGGTTCCCCTTGACATTCTTAGTCTAGTCGTGTCCAATTCTAGGGGATGGTGCTCATCCCATTTTCAAGTCATAGAGCCAGCACTGGTCCAAAGACAGTTTCCGTTGTCATGTGGCCAGCATGACTAGGGAACGCCGTTTAACCTTCCCACCGTGGTGGCACCTATTTATCTACTCACATTTGCATGCTTTCGAACTGCTAGGTTGGCGAGTTGCTGGGACAAAGCGACGGGAGATCACTCCGTCACATGGATTCAATCTTATGACTACTGGTCTTCTGACCCTGCAGCACAGATGCTTCTGCGGTTTAGCCCACAGCACCACCATAATGTAGCTAAAGGTAAAAAAGGCCTGGTGAGATAACTATTTTTTTCTGTGTTAAGAACATGCTTAGAGCTAAGTAATGCCTTTGATATTGTATATTTTTACTTTTAAAAGTTTTTCATGTCTGTCACTGAAAACTATAAGGCTTTTTTCTTTTTTTATGATTTTATTCTTAAGAACTTTATAGAGATGTATTCTCTACCTTTATAGGTTCTTAGCTTCTGTTTTTTAAAATAATTTTGTCTTTTGATTTATACATGGCTTGAATTATGCCTATAACCTAAGTGCCAATAATTTTTTACAAGTTGCCAGAATATATTTTAAGTAAGCCTACAGTATTTTAAGCTTATTTTTTTACACGTCTACATGATTTTTGAATTTAAGCATATGTCCTTACAGTTTTTTTCCCTCATAACTGTAAGACTGACTTGCATAATTGTTGGATTTGCTACTTTGAAGTATTGAACCTAGAAATAATGTAAATAAATAGAACTTTTTTGGAATTGACAAGTTCTGGAATGACCTGGAATGAAGACACTTATGAGATAATTGACAAGTTCTGGAGTGGCCTGGAATTAATGCAACAATGAAGACACTTATGAGATACCCAGAGAGGTTTTACAAACAGCTTGTTACTGATTGTTTGATGAATCATAGAATCTGTTCTCTTTGCCTGGGAGGTCTGTAAATCTTTGTAGGTCTCTTGGGGGAGTCAGTTATCCAAATTAGAATCTGACACCCCACCTTGAAGAGAATACACCCATCCTGCCAGTTTCCCATCAGAATAGAAATGGAAGTTGATTTATGAACCCCTAATCTCTACCAATAAATAGGAGAATAAATGGAAGGCAGAGCAGTGCTGAATTATTCCAATTGCACTTTGTTTCTGAGCCCAAACAATATGAAAATGTCATAGTAGAGTTCTCTCACTCACAAGACATTTTGAATTTTGTAAACATAGAATCATAGAAAAGTGAAGTTGGAAGGGACATATAAGGTCAAGTCCAACCCCTGCTTGATGCAGGAACTCAAATCAATGGATATCTGCCAGGTAGTTGTCTCGGTTTCTCTTGAATGCCTCTAGTGCTGGAGCACCCACCACCTCTTGAGGTAATTGGTTCCACTGTCATACTGCTCTAACATCTATTTAATCTCCTTCAAAGATCCCATTTTGACAAGATACAGACTGAATATTAGTGCCTTAAATTAGACTGGCAATTGGCAAGCCAACTATGCACCACTGTGCACACAAAAGCCTAGTGGGGTAACAAGGAAGGTAGTAACTGCTTCACAATGTCCTAGCCTGAAACATAGTGCCAGAGATCCTGTGTCCTCCTACGCAGACATTACAGAGGATGTCATAGCTAAGCATAAAGGTTCATTCTTGTTCATTCAGAATAAAAACAGATGCTTCTGAAAAGAGAATGTAACATTTAGAGATACTTACTCTGACACTTTTTTTGTTCAGAATAGTTTTCCTATTAAGACATCTTTGAAACACTGAAGATAGTAGTATCATAAATCAATAAAGCATGCTGATGCAACAATACTTTTTTTAAACAAATGTTTTATTTATAATAAAAATGAATTCCTAAACATACACATTGGTAAATGAGGTCCCTAGACAACTTCTATAGTATCCAATGATAAAAACCATTTAAAAACTTGTAGCATAAAAGTAGCTACAAAATGTTTTGGGGCAACTGATAGGGCAAATTTTATCATTTGAAAACATTCATTTTAAAAATGGAACATTTATGGAAGGTTTATATCAGCAAAGAATGTGTTCACTTAATGTTTCTGAAGGTTTGGTTGGTATAAGGGGATATTTCGGATGACTTCTCATTATTTTCACATCACAGTGCAGCAAATTTGGGTTTAAGCAACTGCAATCAATTAAAGTTCCCTGACAAGAGTGAAAACATGGTTTATTGCATCCATATCCTATGCACTTGTTTGATGTACATTTAAAATATCATATATGTGTACTTAAAAAAATTACATATAAAACAATGGTAAATCACCAGATTCAATTTGCTTACTAGAATTCCAATTACTGTAAATTTGATAGATCGTCCACAAGTTCATAAATTACTGGCTGTAAAAACAATTATACACCCAGTCAAGCACACTTTGCCTTTAAGAAAGACAGCAGTGTGGTGAAGTCTAGGTGAATGGCAAACCAGGAGTAATAATTCTTCTGGAAACAAAGCACAAAACACACAAGAAACTTCTTCAGTTCAAGGCACATTAGTTCTGCACACCAAACACCTCCAAACTGTGTAGGATATCATCAATAACAATGTGCATCCCTGCTAATTCAGATGATAGTATTAATGGGGCAAACATCAAACAAACATAAAAGTGAACTATGGGAAAATTGTATAAAGTGTTATAATCTTGCACCACTGCTTTTCCTACAACTTCTGTTCTGTTCTGCTTTTCCTACAACTTACTCAGCACTTACTGCACAAAAAAGTGCTGAAAGCAGTTGCTTAGGTTAATATTAGAAAACAGAGCAAAACCAACAAGGAAGAACTCTAAAAGAAAAGCAAGAGCGTTTAGGGAAGATAAAGAAGGGATGAAACAACCAGGTATAATCTGTGGCTTAACAAGGATGCAAACTAATGCTGGAGGCAGGTAGCTGATAAAACCAGGATTTAAAGTAAGGGGCATCCCATGTTGAAGACTGTAGAACACTGTTGCATACAAGGGGAGACATGTTGTGGGAATAGGTGAGAAAGGACTGATAATGGAATGCAAAGGTTTATGAAATTATAAATTAAGCATTGATCATCTACCATGTAAATTACACAAGAGTTGGATTGTTGAGCTAATTAAACAAAATAACATGTTCTACCAGAGTAACCGTGCCTACCCCTCTGAAAATATCCTTCCACTGCTGCTGTAATTCTAAACATTGGGGAAAAATGCAACTCTGAAGAAGCAGCCACAGAAAATGGGCTCAGGAAAAAAGGTCTATAGCAGAAGCAACTTAGCTGAAGAACTCTGAAGCACTGAAAAGAAACCTCTGCCTACTCATTTCTCAGAAGACATTAAGTGCAATATGTGTAAATCAACCGAGCTTCTAGTACAGACCTCTATAAAAGAGTACCTGATGTTATGTAATTAGGGAGCTTTCTGCATCATGCAGTGCCATTTTTCTAATCAAGAATGCAGCTGAGGAAGTAATCTGAGGAGAGTTTAGAAAAACAGTCAATTAAAAGCTTCACTAAAGAATGAGACAATCTACTTTATAAAGCATTTTCTGGGCATTTTAAATTGGAATTTCTCCTTAAAGCTGAGGTTCTATTAGCACTTGCGTAATATGCAGCAAGAACATTTTTGTACCATGATGCTCCAAATGGGAAAGAAGAATTTCTTTCCTCCAGCCTTATGTCAATGTGATCTTACCAGTTTATCTATTTCAAAGGGTAAGAAAGACTCCAGGGATGTACCATTTATAAAATCAGTGGAAAAAATAGTTGAGCAGAATACTGTAGATTGAATAACCTGTTTTTTGTGTGGTTTTTTAAAAATCTGGTAGGGTCTCAGAAAGAAGTGCTAATTTCACATAATTAACCTAAATAAAATAAGATAATGCCGGTACATAGGGGAAACATCTACTCCTACAACTTGCAGCGACTTCCAGTCAGAAGGCACACTGGCCATGCTGGCTAAGGATTCCAGGAGCTGCAACACAAAATACTCTTTCCTAGCACTGAATACCTTTATTTACTACTTAAATGGCAGAGAAGTAACTCTGTATAACAAATGCCTGTTATTTCTGACGTTGGTATTAAACAATGACTGTCCTGGCTCAAGAAAGCAAACTAAATAAAGCTGTGTATTTTATTCCATCACAGTATGTCAGAATCTTGCATGTTCGGTCTTCTCATGCTATTGTGATCAGTTTAATTATTTTATGTATGCAGTTTTCAATTCATAGCATTTTTTTACAGTGGGAGACGAGGCTGTGAATTTTGAAACCCAAAGACATTAAACTTCCTAGCATATGGTCTTCAAAGTTTTCTGCTAATTCCACCATCATTTACTTCAGAGATTTCAAATATCTTGTGGCACTGAATTAATTATAAATATCAGCCTTCATCAGCTTCTAGTAGATATGGATGTAGACATTTGGTTTCTATTAACACCAATGTATTGTACATGTACACAAGGCAATTATGAAGTGCAACTCATTCCAGAAATGTTTTGGAATCTAAATGCAATGTGCTGTTTTCTAAACTGAGGTTCAAAGTACAAAGTGTGCTTTTCAGATGCTTGGCAAGAAGTTTTCAAACAGTGCCAAACAGAAGGTATTATCTGGAAGTAGTTTCCCAAGTTCTACCTTTCTATGCTCTATTTTGTTGTTTCAGTAGCATTGAGAATGATGTCTACTTGCCCTTTGGGTTCTGTTTCTCCTCTTGGGCTTCAGCCTGTGCACCTGCTTCTTTTGCCATTTGGCTCTCGTCTTGAGAGGAGTCCCCCAGAGTCAGTCCCCCAAAATAGACAGCAAGGCTGCAGCTGGATGATGATGGAGAGACCAAGACCAGTCGCTGCTAAGCTGCTGACACACAATTTAGTGATGAGGACAGCAACAGATACTCTTAGGTGCTGATGTTCTAACCATGTACATCTGAACTGTGGGGGATCCATCATAGAAAAGGCAAAATGATCTCAAGATTTAAATATTCACCACATATACACAAAATGTGTATTGGTCTGTGGGTGTTCTGCCATGCAATTTTCTTTTCTGTGAATATGAGGGAAAACAAGTAGTATGTCTAATCACAAATAACCTGCTGATTAAGGTGGATAAGTGATGTTCTTTTCCTGTAAGAACAGGGAAATTCCAGTGAACTTCATGGCAACTTCTCTTTTAATTTTACTTAGCAAAGTCATTAGTTGTGGTGTAACCAACACTAATCACAAATCTCAAAGGATGCCAATAAACTAGCCTTGTACAGAACAGAAAGGCAAGCTCATGGCAGCATAGGATGGAGTTCACAAGGGGGCTAGCAATGTGTTCCATAAGAGAGTCAAATTAAAATAGCCATAAAATGTTATGTCACAACTATTTTGTATTGTGTATGTTTCTCTGTGTCTGCATGTCATCATTATAGAATATGTGTCTGGCATTTCAGGGAGTCCATGTACATTTTGATAATTGCACGGACACTGTTGGTTCACTCTGCATTAAGAGTCTTGTGCTCTATAGACCCAGCTGCTTGATTTACACCAGGAGTAGAGCATTAATCTCTATAACCTTTCTTTGTAACATACTCTGGCACATTTCTCCAAAGCTGGATGCTTTCCTTAGCATCAATCATGGTTTACATATTTAATATTCAATGTCCCATTTGCTTTCTGGTTGTTCTTTACAGACTTCCAATGTTGGGAAAGCTCTTCAGTTTCTCAGGGAAATCATCTTTGTATAAGACTGGATCTGCCCGGTGTTCAACAACTTTCAGAGGCATAGTCCCAAAGACAGAAGCAAACTTGTTGATGCATTCAGATCTAGGGAAAGAAACAGTGACATTGCTCAGTAACAGAAATATCAGCCTGCATATTTAGGTAACTGTTATCTAATGCATAATAATTTGAACTTTTCTCAAAATGTTTGATCCACAACAAGCTCAGTAAATATGATGCAAATTCCAGATGAGCAGTCATTTTAAAGAAAATGAAAGGATCTGTGTCACCTTAAAATCTTATGGTTTAAATGTTTGTGAGCCAGAACCTACTTAGTGAGATGTAGGAAACAGGAGGTGGAGTCTCACACTATGCAGGATTTAGCAAAGATGTGAAGCTCTTTGATTGATGAATTTAATCACAGCAAAGAAAAAGAAAAAGAGTTGCTGTCAGCTGGCCTGTGCACACAGAGGTCAACACTTCCCTCCTTCTCTCTCCACCAGAATTCCAGGCATTCTTAAAGCAGTGTACATGCTGTAAACTAGAGTGGATTAGCTGCCAACATATCTCTTAAAAGAGCCACTGTCAGATCAAATTTGGCTCACCACAAGACTTGCAAAAATAAGCATGCAGGAAACTAAAGGCATACAGAAGTAGTCCTTGAGTTTTTTATTCTGAAAAAAAAAATTCTGAAGAAAAGGTTCCCTCCCTCTTCATTAAACAACCAAGCATTTCCTTTACGTTATCTACAATAGTGATTGTACTTGAAAGTTTAAAAAATAAAACTGTTCTTAATAACCAAAGCCTGAAACAGAATAGTTATGTTCACTGTCCAAACTGAGTAAAACGAAGTTGTTTTTTTTTAAATCTACATTTAGCACAATGTACTTCAAAATGAATGTAACACGGGTCCAAAACTCTCAGGTAATTTACTCAACAGAGCCTATGTTATCTCTCTCCTTCTAAATTTTGTGTTTTAATAACTTACTAAAAAAAACACAAATATTTATTAAAGAAGCATATCAGCACCCTTTCCTTCATGGACTGATGCTTCAGACAGTTTCAAGATACAAATTTTACTTCACATTTCATGCACTCCTAACTCCCCCTATATGGGTGAAGGAGTCCATGGTTTCTCTAGCAATCAGCGCTAAATAGCTGAGGAAGTTTCATGATGGGGTATATCCAGGAAAAATAAAAACAAAGAAATAGAAAACAAAACACAAATCTTAAAGACTAACTGCCATATTTCAATAAGAGATTTCAGAAATCTGAAAAAAAAGCTCACACTGAAATATAATAGTCTTTAAGGTGCCACAACATCTTTGTCTTGTTTTTGTTTTTATTTCTTGTCTTGATACTTTCACACAAATTAACATGGCTACTTCATTGAAATGTTTTGTGATGGAAGACATCTTATGTGAGGAATGGGGTGCTGAAACAAATACAGTGGTGCCCCGCATAGCGACGTTAATCTGTTCCAGGATTAACGTCGCTATCTGGAAACATCGCTATACGGAACGTAAAACCCCATAGGAACGCATTAAACTCTGTTTAATGCGTTCCTATGGGGGGAAAACTCACCGGTAAGCGAAGATTCCCCATCCAACCGCCATTTTTGCCGCCTTGGTAAGCAAGGGCAGGGCACGAAAACGCTGCGGACGGCCATTTTCTGCACCTGGCGGCCATTTTGGAACCGCCGATCAGCTGTTTTCTAAACATCGCAATGTGAAGATCGGTAAGCGAAATGCTTACCGATTATCGCAATGCTATGTTTTGCCACCTAAAACATCACAATGCGATCACATTAGCGATCGCAAAAAACGTGTCGCTATGCGGATTCATCGTAAAACGGTGTGCTCGTTAAGCAAGGCAACACTGTAATGAATTTATAGTGGCTATGAATAAGTGGACCATGGGTTGAGGGAGAAAAAAAATTACCATGGAGATCACCTGAAGTGCTAAGCAAGACACAAGTGTTACATTGTCTAAGATTCTGGGGGGCATTTTCAGCTCTCATCTAGGTTATAAGAAATCAGTCTCTATATATGTTTGCAAAATTAACTCAGTAAATATAAAAAACTGCACACACACACACACACACACACACACACACACACACACACACACACACACACATACATACATGCAATTCCACACCTACAAAATTAACACAAAAACATGTACAGTGGTGCCTCGCTAGACAATGATAATCCATTCCACTGAAATAGCTGTCTAGCGAAAAGCATTTCCCCATTGGAATGCATTGAAACCTGTTTAATGCGTTCCAATGGGGAAGAATCGTCATTGTCTAGCAAAGATCGGCCATAGGAAAGCCGCTTTGCGAACCGCTAATCAGCTGTTTAAATTGCTGTCTTGCGAGGCTTAGGTCCTGAAAACACCTGTTTTGTGAGTGCGGAGGAAGTTGTCAAAATTGTCATCTAGCAAAAATCGGTTGGCAAAGCAGGGAGCAAACATTGTCCAGCAGAATTCCCCGCTGGGAATCACTGTTTTGCGAATTGCGATAGCAATCGCAAAAAGTCAATGTTTAGCGAAAAAACTGTCATGCGGGGTAATTGTCTAACAAGGCACCACTGTAGTACAAACACATCATAACATGCAGCAGTTCTTTAATATCCTGTGAGATGAACTTAAGCTTGATCCCTTCCTTAGCAAAGGCTGATATCTGCATAATAAAAGCTATCTATATAAATGGTAATGTGCCCATCCCATAAACCAAAAGGACATTAAAGACAAATGCACTTCCTATCCCTAAGGCATAGCACATCTGGATTAAAGATGACATTACTAGCACTACCAAAGACAGAATGTATGCATTCAAAGAAATCTGCCTCCTCCTTAGTACACACCAGATGACTCTAAAACTACTGTTCTTATGCCAACATGCTGGGAAAGTGGGGCTAACAAGGGATCTCAAGTAATAGAACTAGAATTTGGTATATTCCTAAGGATTTGAACATCCAGATATAAGACATAAATGATCAACAACTAAGAGGATTCCACAGAATGTTTGGATCGCTAAGTAACAATTTGTAAATGAAAACCAAGAACGTTCACAAAATAGTCCTTATCCTCATATCCCTGAATTTAAGGAGGTTTCATTTATGGCTGAAAGACAGGAGACTTTTTCGACATGTCCTGTCCCTCATGATTAAAACTAAGTTGCAGCCCCATTAGAATGTAGTTGTTGCTGTGTTAGGAGAGGGCAGCATTTTGTTCCTCTTGGCAGGTTCACAGTGATGGGACAGCTTGTTGTAGAAATAGGATAAGGTTCACTTCACTCTTAAAATCTTCAAATAATCCACCACTTCCCTTTGGAAACTATTCTATAACATAAGATGTCATGGTTAAGCAGTACTTCCTGACAGATTTCCTTAATTTAATACCTATATTTCACATTATATACTGTCATGCCACCCGAAATAGCTTATCACCATGCTTAGTGTTTAGACTCTTAAATACTTGAAGACTTATACCTATTTAGTAACTTCTTACCCAAGCTATATATATACTTTACTTAATCTCATCTCATAAATCAAGCTTTCCTAGAGCCTATGATAGCATCCGTTCCAGCAGTAATACTTAATTTCTCACTGAAACTCAGAGATGGAAAGTACACAAAGGGAACACAAATTTCTCTTTCTGCTGCTGTTAATGTATCTGTGAAGAAAAGGAAAGAGCAAATATAGTATGATGTCTGGAATCCTGCTTGGGTGCATCTTGGTTGCACAGTCTGGCACATGACTGAGACGCACCTTTACATCTTGTCAATTAGCCATGGCATGTCACATAAACCTTATGTGAACACTAATAGGATTCTGGCCAATGCCCTTGAAATAGTCACTGATAAATCTTTCCTTTTGACTCAAAAATCCTTCTTCTCAAAGCTACTGGCCTCTGACATACACAGTACATAATTTATGTTTAATAACCTACAACCTTCCATGTATGGTACTGTCCTTTCTATCCATTTCTATTTTAAAATGCTCTTTATATTTTAATTCTTCCAGGATTGTACAGACTTCATATTCAAGAGCTGCTACTGTTTAAACATAATGGCCTAAGCACCAGTGAATATTATTTTAGAAAGCAGGAAGACAAGCATTAACACCACATCAAAAAACATGAAAAGGAGACATTCAGAGGGATATGCAGAAAAGTGTGCATTATATCAAAATAACTATTGCCAATATTTGATTCCTAGACAGAAACTTGCATAATAAAATATCAATTCAATCTGTACCACTAAACTCAGTCATCAGGGCTTGGATAATTAGCACTCCATTTAATTTCAGAGCTTTCCTTTTAATCCTGAATTTCTTTCACTCCAATAAGATCATCTCTTTAATTTATTTGAACCAATGATTATAGGATCTATTTTCATAACATGCCTTTCTATTAAAAGTAATTTATTCCTAAACATATACAGAATACAGTGGTGCCTCGCATAGCGAGGTTAATCCGTTCCGGATTAACCTTCGCTATGCGAAAACATCGCTAAACGGGAATAAAAAAGCCATAGAAACGCATTGAACTTCGTTCAATGCGTTCCTATGGCTTTAAAACTCACCGTTAAGCGATGTTCTGCCATAGCGCCGCCATTTTAGCGCCCTCGGTAAGCGAGGGCAGGGCGCGAAAATGCGGCGCGGACCTTCCGGCAGCCATTTTGGAACCGCCGATCAGCTGTTCTCCCGGCTTCGTTATGCGATATTCGCTAAGCGAAACGCTTAGCGAATATCGCAAAGCAAAAAATCCCCATAGAGGCCATCTCTGAGCGAATGCTCCAGCGATGGCCCAGAGCGCCTCGTTAAGCGATTTCATCGCTCAGCGAGGCGCTCGTTAAGCGAGGCACCACTGTATATGTGTAGGTACTCATGTATGCATGAATACCACCACTTAAAAGGGGAAAATCCACTAAGCGTGGGAATGATGTTTCCAGAAGACATGGTTCACTTCACATTGACTATCTTGACAGATTATACTTGTGTAATAATATTTTGTAAGTACAAACAGTGAGCAATTTGGTCTTAATGCAAAGCAAGCTAAAGATTACATATTGGAAATGGCAAGAGGGCAAATGAGACACGCACCTTTCCACCATGTGTGTCTGGTCTAGTGATAGTCCATCAATGGCTGTGCATTCTGGACATTTGAATTTCTTCCTGGGTGTAACCTGTGCAAAGACAGCATGATAACAACACTGTTAATATATCTGTGAAGATTCTTAGTCATCCAGGTGGGCTTATATAGAAGTTGACTCATGGCAACTGGATTTCTTTCTTGTTAGGATGAAACATTTTGCTACTCATCCAAGTAGCTTCTTCAGTCGGAAGAGAACTGGTAGGAGATCCCTGATATATCCTCCACATTAGTTTCACTTTCCCCTCCTCTGAATAGGCTTGTTAGAAGGACAAAGGACTGGAGGTGAAGGATAATCCCACTTCTGCAGTCCTCCTCCACCCATTATCATGGGCCGGTTAAGGTTGTTAACAATGGTCTTTCTAGTGAGTGTGGTCTTAATCTTCCTAGGGACGGATGAAAGGGCAGCATGATACATAGAAAACCAATTGTATCTAAGTCCTCCACCCCTGTTGAGTGAGGGATTTTCTATATGCACACATTTGACCTCCCTGACCCCTAGTGAGGGATTTTCTATACGCACATGTATGATCTCCCTGACCCCCCTTGCAAACCACTTATCTTCTCCTCCAAAATAAGTTCATCTTGGTCATCAAATGAGTGGCCTTTGTCCTTCAAAGGAAGGAACACTGCTGATTGTGGTCCTGAGTCATCGCCCCTCCTGTGCTGGGCCATTCTCCCATTTAGCGGCTGTTTGGTTTCTCCAATGTAAAGCTCTGAACACTCTTCTTTGCAGTGGACCTCATATACTATATTGTTCCTGTTGTGTTTTGGTGCCAATTTTTGGGAGTGAATGAGTCTCTGCCTTAGTGTGTTTGTCGCTGTGAAGTACATGGGTATGTGGTATTTATCAAAAATCCTTTTGAGCTTTTCAGACACACCCGCCACGTAAGGAATGACCACGTCCTTCCATCAGCTCTGGGTCTCAGACTGTTCCACTGTCCTCCTGGGTCAGGACATTGCCTTGTTAAAGACCCATTTTGGATATCCACAGGCCTTAATGGCTGTCCTCGGATGTTTATCTTCCTTCTTCTTGGCTTCTGCAGAGGTGGGGATGTTTCTTACTCTGTGATTTAGCATCCTAATGACCCCTAGTTTGTGCCGTAATGGGTGATGAGAGTGAAATCACAGGTATTGATCAGTGTGTGCATGCTTTCTGTAGATTTCTATTCCTAAGCTGCTGTTGGCTCCTATGATAACTGCACAGTCCAGGAAAGCCAGTTGGTTGTCTTTGGTGTCTTCCCTGGTGAACTTGATATTTGGGTCCACTGTGTTTATGTGGTCTGTGAAGGCCTGTACTTCCTGAATCTTGATCTTCACCCAGGCATCGTCAACATACCTCAACCAATGGGTTGGAGTCATCTTGTTAGCACTGCTAATAGGGCAGTCATTAACCCCTTTATTAAAAAATGTATCACAGTGGCCGTGTGTACATCTGTCATGTGAGTCAACTCCTCATAGAAGAAGACAAAGGCAAAAAATGTGTGCCATTTGGTGTAGCTGACTGCAAAGCTTTCAGTGTCTCAATTAGCAAAAAAACAAAAAAAGAGAGAGGTTTGGAGGGGTTTTGCCTTCAGTAAGTGGAAAGTAGTGGTGATGACAAGCTTCTTAATTCCTGTTTAATGACTGTTTTCTCACTGCCAAGGTCTCTGTACAAACGCCATTTGTTCTTCCAGCCATAAGAGTGATGAAATATAGCTTCCCATACTTCAGCGTAACCTTAATCCAACAGACACACTTTGCTCACTTAATAGTTGACTGGCAAACTCTGCAAGGCTCTTCCAACTGCATAGAGGTGCCAAATTACTCTGCATTACCTTTGCACAGTTTAGAAACTCTTACAGCAAACACATATCCTTTATCTTCTAAGGCTTTTCTAGGAAACATGACCACTGGTCTGGTAAATGATGATGGACAGGCAGGAAAGCAGACCTTGCTAATTGAAGTTATGCCTGGAGGCCTCTAAATCTCATTTTGAGTTGACACGCTTTGAAATGAGCAGACAAAGTGAACTTCCATGCCAAAAAAGTAGGCTGAAACATGTCAGGAAATTAATTCAGGGATAAAAGTTCATTTAAAAACTGATCTCACAAATAACATTCTTGCAATTAACATTTCTATAAATCAGCTGTTGCACTTGAGATAGACAGGGATGGACAGGAGTCAGATCTTCCTCTTTTTAGTTTTGTTCAGTAATTTTTTTAAAAAGTGTGTTTGAGGAGGTGGCTTTTGATCCATGAACACTCAACTGAAAGAAACCTGATAGTCTTTAAGGTACCACAACATTTTGCGCTTTGCTTTTGTTTGTTTCCCCACTAAATTTTGTCAACATAAAAAAATCATACTCTCACACATTTTGTCCAGCCAGAATTATCACAGCCAAGAGAACACACACCCTCTACATGACCAAATTGACATGAATTTCAAGCGGTCAGGGTTTTTTTACAGGTAAGTAAGATAATCCCAAAAGAGATGCACAGAAATGTAGTAAACTGTATTGGAACTACCAATCTATGGCACAGCAATTTTACGTAGTTCAGAGATATCTGGATCTAATCTTACCTTAATTACTGCTTTCCCAGTAACATTGGCTACTAGAAAATTCATGGCAATGTCTTCACAATTCATGTGAGCATCTACCCAGTTCTTGATGTCCCCAGGCATTTTGTATGTATACAAGTAGTTAAAATACTGCAGAATGGAAGGGAATGTAGAAAGGGAAAAATGAAACTGTATACAGATTAGTAGATAGGCACTTAAGAAAAACAAACCCTAAGCTACTAAGAAGTGGAATGAGAATAAGTAATAGGCAAGTTCCACTGGGAACTTGCACTTCTCCAGTGCGTGACTCTATTATATTGATGGAACTCTACACACAATTTATTTTGAAATATATACACCCAAGTATCAACAATTGTTTGCAGTGTGGTCTTCAAGAATTTAAACAGCAATGCTATTTAAGTCTCACAGAGGATTGGTGGGCTTCTTCCAACATAAATTAATATACAACTGCAGCCTAAAACAATCAATGTAGTAAAACAGCATGGTTATGTAATTTCAGTGTTTGCTACAGCCTGATTTTACTATGATTCTTACTGTGCCAATACATCGTAAGTGTTTGTAGATAATTGCTTGTTTGTAGTGTAACAATTATTGCTTTGTTTGCTTTTTTATATATGCTGTTAGCTGCTCTGAGAATGTCAGTAGAAGTGCAGAATGAATACATACTAATGCTAATAATAAACAACACAGTAAAGGAACAATTAAAACAAAACAAAAATAAAATAAAACCCAAATGCAACTGATAGTTAAAATGCCTTACAGTTTTGTGTTTTTCTCAAGCCTGACACTGAAAAGGCAAAATTAGCACCAGGCAAATGTTTCTACAGAAAGCATCATACTGACGTTCACAATGAAAAAGCTCTCTCTGGTCAACAGTGAGAGATTTTATGTGTTCGTCTTTGGATTACAACTCCAAGAAACAACTGAAAGCAGAGGGTGATGTGCCTGGAAAGAGGCCTGTGAAGTTGAATGTAATACACATGCAGGTATGTGAGAGCAGACTGTTCTTTTGCAGTAAAATTTACAATCTAGGCACTTTATGCTATCCTCACTCTTTTTCACAAGGTCATCACTGGACATGCAACCAGTGTATCATGCTCAGCATTTATTCCCACCTCACTAGAAAACTATCTGCTCTCTTCAGTATCTTCAGACATACATTATCACACATGCTGTTTTAAAATGGGAGAAATAAAAGCTCTTCTTCAAGAAGTCACAATTTGAGGTTCCTGGGAAATAAATGCACTGGTAACACATTTCTTCTCCATGCCACATATTGCAAATATTACTAGAAAACTCTGAGCATTATAACTGCTCCAGTAGTCTAGAGCCAAAGAAATCACTAGCTGCTACTAGAAGCTACTAGCCTATGGAACGATTAGTCAAACATAGCCACCGTTAAACCATGTGACAACCTGTTTCTGAAACTACTGTGAAAACCATAACATTACTGTATCTTACACTGTTCTTACTTCTTCTCCAGAATATACTGAACACTCAGTACCACTATATAAATGCTGCACACTGTAATTAGTTCAGAGGATAGCTTGTGAAGCCAATTTACAGATCAATCTGTAACTAAGATACCAAGATACCATGAAAGCAATGAAAGGAAAGTGGAAACAGCACTCCATGCCTGAGGATGCTCTAGGGCCATTATTCTCAGGTATTTTACTGAAAGTGCATCACCAACAGAATTCCGTTTATGTCACAGCACTTGCATTGTCTCCTTCCCCTTCCCCTCAGTGTACAAAACTTTCTTTACTTAACCACATAACATGCAAAGAAAAATCTTCCACACGCTGAGATCTTGGTCTTGAGATCATATAGTTTACCTTGTGGTAAAATGCTGCACCTGTAAGTACCATTGAAACTTCATTGGTCCACTCTGATTCATACTTCCACTTATTTGTTTCATGGTCCCACAAGTGCAGGCGACCGGGATAGCCAACTAGTCTATCAGGGAACTCTCTCCATACCTGCAGAATAAAAGTGTTACAAATGGTAAGACTGGCTCTAAAATTGGTCAATTCAGTTTAACAGGACTGTGAATGTTAAAAAAAAATGAAAGAACACCACACCTTAGTTAAGAGACAAACATTTTATTACATGGCATAGATCAGTAAGATGGGATAAGAGTTCTGTGCTGCAGGCAACAAAGGTACAACTCCAATTTTCCTGAAAATCTGTCTCACTCTGATTTGAAAGACATGTTCCATGATCTCATACAGAGATAAGATTGGTTAAGTGTGACTGAACATGGCTTTGCGGCAAACCCAAGCTGGTTGCTAGAAAATGAGTGAAACAATTAACTGGTATGCAATATATGATTGTGTATTTATGCCCATGCTGTTTTGGGAGTCCTTAGAAAGAGCGTCCTCTGTATGAGATCACTAAGCAACTACCTTCTAAGCACTCCAATTGCTTTCTTGAGTCATGTCAAGGAGCCAAGGGACGTGTACTCATGCCCTCATCCAAGCAGTGACCTAAGTTCAGTGCCACCCTGGGACTGCGGTACCATTGCAACAGACCTTTCTTGTCCTTTTCCCCTCCTCTCCCACAGTCCTCACTCATAAACACGCTCTGGAAGGATTCCCACCTTGTTTTGGGTTGCAGAAGAGTGTAGTGGAGAGGGGAGATGGCCCTCTTTTGATACCATGGACAGATACACTTCTATCAGTAAATGTTCCCCACTGGATCCTGGCCAAAAAGATTTATTCATAAAATGGTCTTTCCTGACAATCTACTTCATCTTCTTCATTTTCTTTCAGCTACCATATGTTCTCATGAACAGCTTCAGACTTAACGTAACTGTTTTTCATTCATTCCGTGACAGATATCACATCTGCAGTGAGTGAAAAATATTCTAGTAATATAGCTATCTGACACAATCAATCTTCATGAAAAATGCACAGACACAAATACGTACTCATATGATGTTCACTGTCAAGAAAGAAAAAAAAGGTGGTCCATTGTTCTCTAACATGAAAATACATTGCAAACAATTCTGCTTTAATGTTTAGACTTTATGGGGCAATACAGTATTTAATCATAAGATGAACAGTTTCTACTTGATGACATATAATCAAGATACAGTAGTTCTGACATAAAACATGTTGCTGGCAGGTGTGGCATAGACTATAGAGCACATTTGGGTGTAAGTGAGAGTCTATGCAGACTTTCTCTGCCTGTCATTAAATAGGGACATACTTACTAACCAAGTGTTACATTGTATATGTTTTTTACTGGGTGCTTTGTGGAGCGGTTGCTACAGCTTCTTTCCCTTGCCCTGGTTCCTGGCACCTGGATGCAATCAGAATGCCATTCCTATCACTTCATTATTCTGCCAGTGACTACCAGATCAAAACACAGGTTGACAGAAACAGGGACAAATAATCATTAATGCACCCCAAGGTCTGCTGCATTACAGCAGACACATTTCTCAAGAGGCTGAAAATAACTGGGAAAGATTCAAATGTGCAAGAACTCAAATGTTCTTGAGCTTGCACTTAAGATGGTTCTTCTTAAAGAATAAAGATCTTTTAGTTGGACAATATTGTTTTAACTGTTGTGTCACCTGTCACTTTACTTAACATGGGCAGACAAAGGGCAATCCTGCAGTGATATCCTACGGGTGGAACAGTGTGGCATTGAAGAACTGGAGAAGGGCAACACTTCCACCCCACAGCCTCCACCCAGTGCACTTCCAAAATCTGGAGCTAGTTTTCAGAAGGTGTGAAGAACTGAAGCATGGAGGCTGCTGAAAACATCAGCACAATCCTGGCTGCAGCCCACTGACACACAGATACAAACAAAGATTTTTAAAGTACCAAACAGTATTTCAGAAAAGTTTGCCCTGGATCCCAGAAGGAGGTAGTTAATCATTAAAACCGTATATTTATTGCAAAGATTGACTTAACAGAAGTTTTAAAGAAGTGTGAACAACTTGACTACAGTATTCTTTGACTGGCCCCAGATCAGCTAAAGAAGATGTGAGCCAAAACTTTTCCAATATGTAATATTTCTATTATTTCAATCAATATACAGAAATACGTACATCTGATCTTATGTATAGTTTTAATAATCTGAGAAAATGAACTTAAGTACTAATAAAAATAACACTACCTTTATTGTCCAAATAGTATGGGATTGTGAATAGGTCCCTATTCACCCTTACCACTATCAGCCTATACCAATGACACTTTAGGCATGATGTGCCTAAAGTTATGTCAGCTATGTATGTACTACTGTTTATTACACTGAATACTGCAAAGCATGAAGAGAGTTATGCATGTATAAGCACACAGGGGACATCCAGTTTCAGAGGCAGCATGCCATGGAATACCAGCTGCTGAGGAACGACCACAGTTCAATCACAGAGCAGGTGCTTTATATGCATTAAGTCTCAGAATTAATCCCTGGCATCTTCAGTTAAAAGAATCAGGTAGCAGTGATAGCAAAGACCTCTGTCCCGATAGAAGAAAAGAAGGCCCTTGCTTTTGGGCCTCCTAGAGGTATCTGGCTGACCACTAAGAGAAACAGGATAATGAATTACAAGGTCTAACTCAGCAGTTATCATGATGTATGGGTGTATAAATCACAGTAAACACGGTAAACACTAATATATCCACACCAAACATGACTAGTACACAGTGTAAACTAGGTTTGACAAATCACAGGAAAAAACGTTAGAAACAGCAACAAAGGAAATACAGTGGTGCCTCACATAGCGAGGTTAATCCGTTCCGGATTAACCTTCGCTATAGCGAAACATCGCTGTGCGGGAATAAAAAAGCCATAGAAACGCATTGAACTTTGTTCAATGCGTTCCTATGGCTTGAAAACTCACCGCTGTGCGAGGCTCGTCCATAGCGCCGCCATTTTCGCGCCCTCGGTAAGCGAGGGCAGGGCGCGAAAATGCGGCGCGGACCTTCCGGCGGCCATTTTGGAACCGCCGATCAGCTGTACTCCCCGGCTTCGTTATGCGATATTCGCTAAGCGAATCGCTTAGCGAATATCGCAAAGCGAAAAATTGCCATAGGGGCCATCGCTGAGCAAATGCTCCAGCGATGGCCCAGAGTGCCTCGTTAAGCGATTTCATCGCTCAGCGAGGCGCTCGTTAAGCGCGGCACCACTGTAATACATGGCCACTCTTTGTCTAGTCCAGTGATGGTGAACTTATGGCACATGTGCCACAGCTGGCACACAACGCCCTCTCTGTGGGCACACGAGCCATAAGTCGCCATAGATATTTACTTACCTGTCCTCCAATCCCAGAGTTTGGCACTCCCCTCTGCTGGTGCGGTGGTCCAGCAGAGGGGTACAATGGCAGCCATTACCAGTCTAGCCCAAAGGGGGATTGGAGGACCAGAAAGTATTTCTCTGTTAAAGCCGCCTTGGGGGGAGGGAGGAGCATTTAACACTTGTAGTGCAGGAGCAGTTTTGTTTTTTCTTAAGTAAAACCTCAGCATTTGGGTTTTAATTGCAGTATTGGCACTTTAAAATAAATAAGTTGATTCTGTGTTGCAGTTTGGGCACTCGGGCTCAAAAAGGTTCACCATCACTTGTCTAGTCTATCATTATGTATGTATAGTCTTTATTTGTCTAGTCTATCATTAAGCAAGGAGTATAGTGTCTAGAAGATCAAAGGAAGTGATAGTACCACTCTATTCTGCTTTTGGTCAGACCTCACCTGGAGTATTGTGTCCAATTCTGGGCACCTCAATTCAAGAAGGATGTTGACAACCTGGAACGTGTCCAGAGGAGGGCGATCAAAATGGTCAAAGGTCTGGGAGTCATGTCCTATGAGGAGCGGCTTTGGGAGCTGGGAATGTTTAGCCTTACAAAAGGGTACACGATAGCCATGTTTAAATATTTAAAGGGATGTCATGTCAAGGAAGGGACAGGTTTGTTTTCCATGGCTCTAGACACTAGGACAAGGAGCAATGGTTTCAAAGTACAGGAAAAGAGATTCCACCTGAATCTCAGGAAGAACTTTCTGACAGTCAGAGCTGGTCAGCAGGGGAATATACTGCTTCGGAGTGTGGTGGAGTCTCCTTCTTTGAAGGTTTTTAAGCAGAAGCTGGATGGCCATTTGTCAGGAGTGCTTTGATGGAGTTCCTGCATGGCAAGGGATTGGACTTGATGGCCCCTGTGGTCTCTTCTAACTCTGTGATTCTATGATTCTAAGTATCTTCATATTAATACTTAAACCATTAAATCACCCTGGTTCTAAAACTGATGGATGTCTGGGAAATGAAACAAAGAAAGGGAGTATGCATGAGTTAAAAAAATATATGTTCTATGATTTTTCATCATGATTAGTTTAGAAAATTTTAATAACTCAAGGCAGCAATCCATGAAGGAGACTGTAATTTAGCTTATGTTAACACACACAAGCCTGTAGCACTGTTAATAAGTTGACTTAATTATAACTGAACACTATCTGAGGTATTATAGTCCTTTACTTCCACCCCTCTTGAAGCATATACATACTTATATGTACTATATAATGAAGAAGGAATAAGGAGATCTTGAGAGATGTGGTAAATAAACAGCTTTTCTTTTCTAAAGAAGAAACTATATAAACTGTACGCAAATCATTCTGCAGAAACAGAAGCCTTAACTGTTGCTGCTCTGAAACAGAAAAAAAGGGGCTGCCTTTAAACATGATATTCCTGGTCATCAAGCCACAATAGAAACAGCATCAGGATTAAGCCACAATGTGTGACGCAAGTAGTTTCAAATCTTTGCAATTTATTCCCACCACATAAACAGGTAAGCACATATTCATATGGAGAGAACTGTTCAATGGAAAGGCTGAAGTAATATGGAAAACAGCTGTGGTTCTTCATACAGGATGTGGTGCTTACTTTAATAATGTTGCAGAAGAATGGCCACCTTTAAATCCAGTGACTGAATGTTGACCATTAGAACTAGGCTGAGAAGATGACAGGAGAGTTCAAACAGTTTCCATACT